GCCTCGTTTGGGATATTTATTCTTTTTCCTGTTAAGATTTTCCTCACTTTTATCAAGTGTCATTAGGATTGTTCCCACTGATGGGGAAACAGGGAAGGCAAAGTTCTGTCCAGACTGACCAGGTGGGACTGAAATCATAACCATGGCTCCTCTTTAACCAGCAGGGTAATAAGAAGAACAAAAATCCTGAGATTTTTTTAAGACCTCTTCACARAGGAGTTGCAGAGGAGGGTGCAACAACCCCCTGTAACTCACCACTAATCTGCAATTAAATATACTCATTTTTACAGCTAACAGCAAAAATCCAATGCCAAACTCCTCGATACCACAGGTCCATTTCTCCTTGAATTGTCTCCTGTGAATTATCTTCTATTTTTAGGCCTTTTATTTTTAGGCTGCTGCATGCGATGGCTGKGCAGCTCGACCAGCTATTAATTGGAAATGTTTTACTCCTCATGCAGATTTATTCYTGTGCTTTCTGCACCAACCTGTCCTGGGAGCAGATGCTGCACATTTATGGGGCAGCTACAAGCTCTGCTCTTCGGGGGCATTGCTGCTCTCTCCTCCTCCACCTGTGCACGTTTTTGCACACATTTTTCTCAAACCATGTCAAATTTGATGATCTTTAGGGCCATAAAGCAGCAGTTCAGTGAGTTCTGGGTGTGCAGAGATTTAAAGAGTCCCTGAGCACCAAGGGGCAGTCTCATGGCAGGGTCGGTGTCACTCGCTCGTGGTGAAAATTATTTACCAGGGGAGGGTTGGGGGCTGCAAATCCCGGCTGCAAATTTTTGGTCCCTGCATTTTTGGCAGCTGCCTCCAGGCTCAGAGGTGCTGTGCCACCCAGCCAAGCTGGAAGCTGAACTTCAGAGAGCAGCACACGAGCACAACCGCTATTTTTAATGCTATTGTCGCTACCTTTCTCAGTAACCTAGACAACAGCAAAAAGCTCTTTTCTCTCCAGTTCCACAGCACTACTACACTGGTTTGAACTCCTGTTTGAGCAGGAGTTGGGAATAAAACCAGCCCTTGCTCAACTGGCATTGCATTTAAAGGGACTTTTAACTCCACAAAGCTCACATGCCTTYGCATCCACCACTTTAAAACGCTGGCTAAAAATATTTGCCTTATCTGCAGTCAGATGAATAAATCCTCCCTGCTGCTGGGTACAYGGTGTGGCAGTGCACCACACAACTGCAAATTTATTTGTTAGAAACCGTACATCTGTTATGATTTACGCTTGCCAAAATGTAATTCTTTATGGCAACAATTGTTTCATGGTGCTTAAAGTTTTTCACCTCCGTGCCAGGAATCTCATATGGGATAATTCCATGACCTTGGAATCCAGCAGATACATTCCACATCTGTCTGGTCTGGGAAAGCCCGGGTTTGTTGTGTGAAAACCATAGTGGGAAAGTYAGACCTGGAAATGTCTGAAAATACAGAAACAGCAGGGCTGCTTCTTTTTTTTTTTTTAATTTTTTTTATTATTATCAGTTTCAAGTGCAGTGAATCAATCTCCCAGAAATCATTACTTTGCTTTTGTAAGCAGATATTCACTTCTGATCCTATCCCCACATTAAGGAGTATGGTATAAACATTACAATAATTCTATCTGTGGAGGAGAAAACCCCACAACCTTTAAATATTAAAACTAAATCTTGTTGAAGGCTGCTTGATATTTAAACAGAAAATAACCCAAACTGCTGCAAGTAAACATCTTACAGCCTGTGAAGATACAGGATGGCAGAAAAACTGTAGATCCTGGAATCTCAGGGTATTCACTTTYCTCATTAGACTTTTTAGCAACAAAAATGAACTGTAAACAGCTTTGAGAGCAGCAAACTTAAAAAGCTCTGGTTTCCTGTGATTCTTCCCTGTTCTTTTCTGTTATTCCAATAATTTGGCTGAGCTCCTGCTGCAGCCCTGCTCTCCAAGGGCACTGTAGCATTTCCATGCWCAMATCCTGCACCTCAAAGAACCTGCASCCAAATAAACTGGRCAGCCCTGGGCACAGGAGGGTGRGCACACAGCCATGGCAAAAAAATTGTGGTGGACATACAGGGAGAAGGTGATTCTTGCTTGATAGAGAGGGGAGATTAACTATTCTTGATAGTAATTAGGGTGAAAATCCTGGTTTAAAGCAGGAATTGCTGTTCTGATCATCTCTGGGGTTATGTCTTCCTTTCCAAATGTTTCAGTGGTGTCTCTTCACTCTGCAAAGGTGCCAGGCTGTGTCCTTGGGCAGCACCAATGTCCTTACAATGTCCCAAAGGGCTGGCACAGAGCACGGCAGGCTAACCAGAAATGAATAATTAATTTAATAAATTCAACAATTTTAAATCCATGGGCAAGTCCTGGGTGCCTTAGAGAAGCTTTGATGCTCAGAGTCACAAGATTCCACTTGGAACCAGTACCTGGGATGCAGCAAAGCTTTATCAAGCAATGACTGATTCATCCAAGGCATGACCGTGGTTTGTGATAAATGATAAATCACAGAACGGTTTGGGTTGGAAGGGACCTTAAAGATCATCCAGTTCCACCCCCTGCCATGCACAGGGATGCCTTCCAGGTTGTTTCAAGCCCCTTCCAGCCTGGTCTTGGGCACTTCCAGGGATCCAGGAGCAGCCACAGCTTCTCTGGGCACCCTGTGCCAGGGCTGCCCACCCTCACAGGGGAGAATTTCTTCCTGACACTCATCTAAACCTACTCTCTTCCCTTTTGAAGCCATTTCCCCTTATCCTGTCACTCCAAGCTCATGTAAATCATCTCTCCACTCTTCCTGCAGGCTGTCTTCAGGTACTGAAAAGCCACAGTTGTGTCACTCTAAGCAATCCCAATTYTCTCCATCTTTCCCCATGGGAGAGGGGCTCCATCCCTCTGATCATCTCAGTGACCTCTTTGGGGAGGGGACCCCAAAATTGGGCACAGAGGGCAGAGCAGAGGAGCAGCATCACCTCCCCTGACTCTCACACTGCTCTCAATGCAGCCCAGGGCACGGCGCCTTCCTGAGCTGCATCAAAATGCAAAAAATGAGCAAATAAAWAGGTAAATGAGTGCCTCGTCCAAAAATCACCTGGCCAAGTCAGCTTTGTAGCACTGGACAYGCTGTGCTCCAAAGGAGGCTGCATTTTAGTGATATTCTAAATGGTTTTCTGCACATGCAGCAGCCAAACMATTTGGCTGCATTTCGAGTGCTTTGGGTTAGAGGACCACGAACATCAAAAAGCACATGAAAGCAGATAATGGCTTTCCAACCAATTGTGACAACCAACCAGCCAAAACTGCTTTCCACCAGGTTGTAGAATAACGTGCTCCTGGTGAGTTRCAGCAATTTTCCTGCAGGAAAGTTTAACCTCAAAGATGGAAATGCCTGTAAAAATCAGGTTGAAAATATGAGGCATAAACTGAGTGAGCAGGCAGAAATATCACTGCAACATGAGAAATGGTCAATATTGGATGTTCATTTTTAAAGTAAAAAAATACAGGCAATGTCCAAAGTGAGAAACTCTGTCAGATTTGCAGTGGAAGGGTGAGGTGAGCAGATTCTTTCTGCAGAATGCAGTGTTAATGCTCTTCTACCCCTTCAAGTCTTAACAGCTGTTTCAGCAAGAGGGGGAAAATAAAGGCCCTTGGTAACTCTTAAGCAAGCTGCCAATTTTCCACATGGGATTCAATGGCTGRGAAAATTAGATTTTCCTAGTCTCCTGCTGCTGCAAGGAATAACAGCACACTCAGTAACACTGGGAGAAATGAAAATTCCGTATTTCTGAAAAAAACCCAACTTTATTTCCTAAATTTTTCTCATATACTAAACATCTTCTTAATAAAAAAGATTCCCTATCTAATATCCAGTCTGCTTTATTCTGACACTGTGGTTTTGAAGGGACGTTCCTTGTCATTTATTTAAAGTTCCTGAAGTTTCTCCCTGTGTGACAGACAGGTGCAGTTACTTGCACTGACAATTTTGTGGGCTCTGAAGAAAAACCATGTTAATAAATAAAATACGTATTTTCAGCACTCAAGAGGAAAGAAGGATGGGATTTTAAAAAATACAGGCAATTTTAAGTGTCAGTTACTGATTATGAACCAATTCTGGCTGCCCAAAAATCCACAAAGAGCAAGCAAAGCAAAGCCTGTTGGTTTCAAAATCACCTGAAAGGGAGGTGATTCCAATTCCCTGCCAGCTCCTGTGCCACCACTGGCACTGTCACACCCAGCCTGGCACTGGAATTGTCACCACAGCCACATGTTGGTTATTTCTAATCCATATATTTGCATAGGAACACTCCCAATCCACAGCAAATCACATCCCAAAGCTCTCCTGTTATTCAGYCTGAGTCTCTCAAACTCCTCTTTATAACTTTTTATATCACAGTGCCCTGGTGCTCGTGTGAGAATCCAAATATTTATGTCGGAGACAACGGGGGGAGAGCCCCGTCAGCATCTGTTTGCAGAAGTGAGAGGGTGGAACTGAAGTGTCAGATAATCTCCCAAAAAGATGTCAGCATTTCCAGCTGCCTGACAGATCTGTCTGCCCGTGTGAGAGCAAACAAGAAAATGGCTCAGCCKTTTGGACTGAGTTTAAGGCAAAGCAAAGGAGAAATTCTCTGTTTTCTGATCAAATCTCCTGCTCCAGTTCCCCTGTAAATCCCTTTTGGGAATAATAATCAATGCACTCTGTGGCTGACCAGCCCTGCTGAAGCATTGGAAATTTGGAACTGGAAAAATCCCCTGTGGAAAACAAATCTTCAAACRGCAAAGACACCAGACACACCTCAAAATTCCTCTGCATTTTCAATTTACTGGGAAGAAGATTGCCCCACTTGAGACAATTCCGTGGAAATGGTGTCTGAATTCATTTGAATTTTGAGTAGGTCTCCTGGTTTAAGTGGACTTAGATTGATGCTGAAGTAAGAGATTGAACYGAACCCAAATGTTTTTAATGCTCAGCCTTGATCTTGAGCAGGAAATGACAGGGTTTATCAGGATGCCAATCTTACCTCTGTAATAATGAAGAAGTCATCACCGGGCTCTCCCTGCACAACAATTTTTTCTCCGTCTTCAAACTGGACAGGTTCCAGTGCATCAGCCACTGTCAGCCGCTCCCATTTGTCCAGGGACTCTAAAATATTGAAGATGATAAAGCTATATTATAAAAACACTCCACCTTTGGCTGAAGATCCTTATCTAAACTGACAGCTCCGCCATGCCCGCGTCTGTTAAAAAAAAAAAAAAAGAAACATTTCTTTCATCCAGGCACTTTGCAYGAACCTCCAGTTGGGGAACATGAATGTATTTATTCATTGTGCCTTAGCCTTTAGTAATCACGCAGATAACAATCTTAAAAAGCTGGACAGGGAGAGTTGGCAGGGGTTCCCTGCACCTGCCATCTGATCCTGGCACTGCCACGGCCCYGAGCAGCTCAGGAGAGGTGGCAGYRCYSAGATTGTCCTGAAMASCCCACAGAGGTGTCAGGACAYGTCCTGCAGCTTTTCCAGCAGAGCTGCTCCCTTYTGCTGCTGGGCTGAGGGGTGGGTGATGCAAAATGTCCATCCCAAGGATGGGTGAGGCAACCAGAGCACGAGCAGAGGAGCCCAGATGGGTTTGTGGCTCTTTGGAATGGCAGCTCTGCTTCACCCGCCAGCAGCACGGCTTGAAAACAGCTTTGCTTTCATTCCCCCACTTTGGGGAGAAAARTTATAGAACTCCCAAAACATTTTCCTAATTAAAAATGACCTGGTTTAGGATTGATAGAGAGAATGCAGCCAACTCCTGGTGATGGGGGGTCCTCATTTGGCCTTGCCCCAAATCCCCAGAATGGCAAAGGGCAGCGTTCACAGAGCTCCTCCAGGGCTGCTCAGTGTCCCCTGCCCTCCCAAAGGCTCCTCCAGTGTTCCCTGCCCTCCCAAGGGCTCCTCCAGTGTCCCCTGCTCTTAAAAAGGCTCCTCCAGTGTCCCCTGCCCTCCCAAGTGCTCCTCCAGGGCTCCTCCAGTGTCCCCTGCCCTCCCAAGGGCTGCTCAGTGTCCCCTGCCCTCCCAAGGGCTTCTCCAGGGCTCCTCCAGTGTCCCCTGCCCTCCCAAAGGTTCCTCCAGTGTCCCCTGCTCCTCCAGGGCTCCTCCAGTGTCCCCTGCCCTCCCAAGGATGGGTTCTGCCCTCGGAGAGGAAGGTGCCACCTCTGTCTCCATCCAACACCCACTTGCATGAGAATTCAAGGCAACAAATTGCACTTAAACTTTTGCACTTTGATCAGGTTTGACTGAAAAATTACAGGTTTAAAAGTTATTAAAAGAAGCAGCTAATACAGTGATTTAACCTTCACTGCCTCGAAAAGCTGGGCTGAAATTCATGTCCCAGAGCTCTGCTGATTCCTACTTGCTATGAATTATTGAGCTAATGTAAGTCAAGATATGGTTTCTGACACCAGGATTAGATCTCTGCCATTCCATCAGACTCTGATTTCCCCATTTTGTTCAAAATATTCCTTAGAAGTATTAAATGAGGGTGAAGGAGTTGTTTTTTAGAAGTTGAAATGCCTTTTGGCTGAGCTCAGAAGGGCACACCGAGCCTGGTAACAAAACCAGACCCAAAAAGCACCAAAGGTAAGTTTTGACTGACACATCTTCAGGTTTTTATTCCAATTTCTGTTGCTGTTGGGAAAATTAATTGTTTCTAACATTTTTCCCCACCTAAAGCACTTCCCTGSTGTGTTTGTGACCTTTGCTGCAGAAGAATTCATGCCAAAAGCMCAAGCCCATATTGTCAATGCAACATTCAAAAACTGCTCTGTTTGACTAAAAATAAGCATAAAACTCTTTCATACAGACTAGAGAAGACTTTTTCTTTTTTTTTTTAAGAACTCAGTAATTAACAATGAAAAGAAAGAGTCTCTTGAAACTTCTTCGGTTGGCTTTATGAAAAATTCAAAGCTAATTCTAGCTCTAGTCACGAAGCGTCTCTCTTTTGTCTAAGGGAACTGTACCACTACAAATATAATGGTTAATAATTCTTGCAAACAGAGCATTACAKGGAATATTCTACAAGTTTTAGTTGCAGAGTTGAAGTATCAAATAAATTAGACTATATGCAATTTTTTTGCAATGTCTAAATTGTACATATCAATTCATGGCTTTATATTTAATTAAACTCCAGGAGAAAAATTTAAAAAAATTACTTCTTTCATATCTTGCTTGATACACTATAAGCAACTACTGATAATCCAAAAAAATCCTTAGATTTAAAAAAAAAGTGACTCTTTTAGTTATATTGCTAATTACAGACACTAGACAGGACTTGGAAAAAAAACATGTAAGAAGCAGGTAGAGGTTTTGCCACCAGGAAATCACAGAGTTCTGACCACATTAAGGGATRAAGTGAAGTTGACTTTTCAGTGCCATGTTGGGATTTCCAAAATATCTTCCTGCTTTGCAGGTGTCATCTGCTTYTTAGACATGTCAAAGAGATCCTCACACATTTCACCGAAATTTCCACCTTCCTGCAATGATGTGTTATTTTGTTCACTGCTTTTCTGGGCTTAAAAAAAGCTTCAAATCCCAAAGTCCTTCCTCTTCTTTTTGTTTTTTTTTTTTTTTTTTAAACTGAGATTCAAAAGCCACACTACAAATGAGGCTCTAATTACACTGAAAACCACATGTTTAAGGAAGCACATCTCTGAATAACCTTTCTACTCTGAAATTGTTTTGA